AATTCTAGATTAGGTGCTTGGAATATGAATTTGAATATAGAGGAGGAATTCGAACCTTTAGTTTCCATAGGCAAAAAACATCCTTCAGAAGGTAAAACATACATACATAAACAATAATTTTGAAAACAGATATAATTTTAAAAACGCTGATTTCAGATTACTATGCGAACTATTAAGGGATTTCGATTAGTCAAAAATTGGACACTTCGAAATGGTTGATGATTCTGTCCAATATTTTTACCAGGTTTTTTATGAAATGCTTGACATATGTGTACTGTGTACCAAAGTTAGTAAACTTGTCGAAAACTTTCCGCCATGGTAATGTACAATAAGTCTCTTAAAACATCCACATTTCCTAGTGAATTTATGAGAACTAGATTGGCACCTTTTTTTAAAAAGGGCAATAAAAATAAAATAGATCATTATCGTCCCATAGCCATATTAAATTGTACAGCGAAACTGTTTGAATTTGTAATATGTGATAAACTATATGCTATATGCCCACTTTCAAAAATACATATCAACCGAACAGCACAGATTTGTCGTAAAAAAATCAGTAGATACAAATTTATTAACTTTCAGCAATAAAATATTAAAATGTGTTAATTCCCGTGAACAAGTCGATTATATTTATTTCAAGAAAGCCTTTGATATGGTAAATCACAATTTCTTTTTTTGTTAATAATATTATAGAAACATGTTTGTTTCTGAACATAAATAAATAAATTTGTGATTTTTGAATTAAATGACATTTAATAATTAGTTTGTTACAATGGTTTATTGTATTGCATATTGACGACACCTTATCAAAGTTCAGCTAACCTAAAAGATGCTAACATATAGTGCTCAATGCACTTAATTAAGCAGACGCTGTCTTCAGCTTCTTTGCCGATAATTCCCCTGTAAACAGACATTTGTGTAACCATGAAGTAAATTTTTGAAGTTGAAGTACGAAAGCTAGTGTACATGTAAAAAGTATTTTTTTGTGTTTCTAATAGTGAAATAAATAATGTAGTTCCTTTAGCCGGCTTTTAATTTACATGCTACAAATTTCCCATCCACAACTAAAATAAATACAGTTCCATTTTACAATTACAGTTACAGTCTTAGACAGTGACCAATGAACAACCAACATAATTAATTGTATAATTTTACTGTTCGACAATATTATTAATTTCCCTATTTGTTATCCGTATTTAATATAAATAAATTTCCATTAAATTTCAGTTTGTTTTTTATAATTCCCCAACAGAGGCTCTGTTAAATATACTGAATTTTATCCTTGTAATAGTGAACATAGTTTCACCGATTCTATAGTTAAAATAATAAAATAATTCTTACCAAAGCCAACATTCCCACTGATTTTTTATTCGCTTATCCCTTGACTATTTTTCATGAAACTGATGTAATATATAAAATATTTACAAACAAGTCATAATTCAGTATAAAAGAAAAGGTGGAAAAAAATCAAAAAACTTTAATATCATCAGCCTTTATCCGCTTACGTCATATAGCAAAAACCAGAGGTTAAAAATCCGTAAAAAGGAAACTAAGCGTCGTAAAGAGGTTTACCTATAAGCCACCGACTCTAAAGGATACTAAGAAGAAATTATGAGAAATGCTTCTAACTTGTACGAGATAGTGGAGGCTTTGTGGGTTTTTTAGTTTTATCTGCCTTTGTCCAGGCGGTCTCTCCAACATAAAATTCCATTCTTGGTCTAAGAAGTATTACGAATTTTATATTTATACAAATATTTGAAAAACACTTAACAGAAGGTCGATATATTATAAAGATTGTGTATTTTATTATTTGAGAGGTTTGGTGGCCATAACACACGAAAATTAAGTTTCTCATGCCTAAAAAAGATCATTTCTAATGAAAAACTATGTACAATGACAATTTTATTTGAGGAAACAATTTTTGTTTTTGGGACTTCTTATTTATAACCAGGAAAAGTGGAATCCATCTTCCATTGGTATACTCAGATAGCAACATGTGGTAGTTTAACGAGATACCTTGTATGGTGGGTTAAAGTAAGCGTCCAGTCCAGTTCAGTTTCAATAAAAGTTTAGATTCAAAATCTATGATATAACATTCGTCTCTAATTCACAAATAAATGACGTTGGACTATGAGAATTACATACATTTGTAATCGTATATTACGGGGGTATTCAAAAATAAAAAGTACAATATGTTCTATTTAAAAAAACATCGATGATGTTATGTACATGAAAGTGACGTCATTAGTACATCTAATTGTAGCGTAAGGCAGAAAAATTCGAATTTATTCCAACCTATATATTCTCACCGTATACAGATAAACTCTAAATAATTCGGAGCATAGCAATTTCTATTAGCCAAGTCGACCAGCACAAATTTCAACCGATAAAGCTTAGTTACGACATCTAAGAATAAATTGGGCCGCAGTAACGCTCTCCCACCATTAAAGATTTGTTCCTTGTCTAACCCCTAAACGGTCCGCCCATTTTACCTTTTGCTTCTATGTGAAAACATTAAATAGGTAAAACAAACACAGTGATTTTAGTATTGCATTGATAATGGTAAGGTGTACTTAAAACTTGTCTGTAACGACAGAAATTATTACGTTTTAATGTGTTGATGCAAAAAATTATTTGTTAACTTTTTTTAAACAAATAATTTTTCTTTCCAAATTGTGTTTTGTGCTGTCTCTTTGCCGTAACGACGTTGAAAATAAAATTCCAAAAATAAAATAAAATTCCAAAAAATAAAAGAAAATTCTTAAAAAATAAAATAAAATTCTTAAAAATAAAAATTAATTCCAGAATAAACAACATGAAAACTCCAAAAAAACATTCTAAAATTATTAATGAATTAAAGGCTCAAATAATCCCCCTTGTTGTGCCAAACAATAGCCGAACCCTATTATACAATGATAAACGTGTATCTCTTAATTGAGTTGGCGTAATGTTGGCACAATATTGAATTATTTTCGCTCTTAATTCATTTAAGTTTGTTGCCCGTTCAAAATCGTGCCGGTAAATGTTTCCTTTTAAAAAGCCCCAAAAGAAAAAATCATTCGGCGATAAGTCTGGTGATCTCGGAGGCCACTTGATTGTACCATTTGTTGCTATTAAGCGATCAGGGAACATTGTGCGCAGAAATTCGGTAACTGCCCGACAATTATGACTTGAACAGCCATCCTGTTGAAACCAAATATCTCCCAAATTAACAGGGAGTTGCTGAAGTGCAGGAATAATTTGGGTTTGTAATAGTTGCAGATATTTGGTGTCGTTTAGGTTACCCTCAATAAAAAAGGGACCTATAACATGGTCACCTAATATCCCCGACCAAACATTAAGTTTTTGCGGATATTGTGTCCGAACAGGAATAGGTAGGTGTTTATTTTCCCGAGACCAATATCGAACGACAGATGAATTGTGTTTGCTATGAAGGGAAAACGTTGACTCATCCGTAAATAAAATATTACTTAAAAAATTTGGATTTTGATTTTGTTTTTCCATCATTTCTTCACAAAACTCCATTCGTTTGATACTGTCCTCGGGAAAAATCTCTTGAGTCGTTTGGACCGGTAACCATTCCTTTTCAAAATTTTTCTAACAGTATTTGGGTGCATGTCAACCTCTTCAGCAATTTCCCTGCTAGAACATGGTTGACTGGCTTCAACAATGGCATACACATTTGTTTCTTTATTTATTATTTAGCCTATGTTCACTAATCTGTCGAATACGTGGTTCATCGACATTATTACATTTGTGACAATTTTGCACACATCCACATTTCCGAAATTTTTGAATTATTCTTTCAACTATGGAATGTGACGGAGCTGGCCTATCCTCAAACGCAACAATAAATAAATTCACTATTTCTCTAGTCGAGTGACCTCCAAAATACCAACTCATAATTTGAATTTTTTCCTGCACTGTGTACATTTTATTTTATTTTAATTACAACTGTTACGGACTTAAAAACCTACGTAGCTTACTGTGTAGGCCAACAACGTGTGAGTCTGAAGTCTGAACGCGCGCTTTGTGATCCGAGCAGTGTTGCCAGGTCAAGAAGATCGTAAGCGGTAGAATTGTCGTAAAAGAAGCGGTAGATATAAAAATAAAACGGTAGATTTAATTAATGTTTGAAAATTACTGTTTTTGCGAATTACTAAATGAAAATAAAAACCAAAATGCATTTCCTGTTGTACTCGTACTTATGTTTTATTTAACTAATAAAATGTAACAATATTGTAAAAAACAAAAATAATCGCCAAACAAAAAAATCCAATATTTTCAAACTCATTCTGAATCAGAAAAGTTATCAGATTTTTTGTACATATTATTATTATGAAAAGAAAGCAACTGTTGGTCAATTTGTAAATTAAAACATTCGCTGCTACCTATGTATTCCTTAGAATGCATTAGGCCAACAATACTATTAGTCGATAATAAGTTTCTATGTTTCGTTTTGAGTAAATTAATTTGCGAAAATTTCCTTTCTGCGTCTGCAGAGGGATGAGGTAAACATAGAATATTGAGTGCAAAGTTTGTGAGCAGCGGATATACTAAAGTGCCATCCGCATATTGCTCAGCTTGTACATTTAGCCAAAATGATGTTATTGATAGATTATCTTTAAAATTTTTAGAAAAATCAGAATTTTTAAACTATCTCCATTCGTTATCAATTTTTTGAAAATCCTTTTCAGCTATTAAGTTTGGAAAATGTATTATCAAGGGTACTATAGATTCTTCGTTGCCTTCAAAAATACATTTAGGATTTATCAGTGACACAGATTTTAATATAATGTTATCGAAATCGTATCTTTTAGAAATCTGAAATGCTGCCTCAATATAAAAATTCAGACAACGTATGCGAAGAACATGTGACTTATCAGAAGACAAATTTTGTTTTAAAATATATTGCGTTGTTTTTGCACCCAAATATACATTTTCAATTGGCTTGTAGTTGTCTGGATTTTTAACATTGATTTTATATAGCGAACTGTTATCTAAAATATTTTTTTTACAAAATAATCCAAAATGGTTTTGTAAAGATTACACAACCGAGAATGAAGAATATAAAGCTTTGGCTCCGAAGACTGCATTTCCTTATTTAAATTATTAAATAATGGTAATAAGGTTTTGTAAAAACGGAATCCGTTAAAATTAACAATTTCTTTGTAAATATCGGCAGTTCTAGAACTTTTCATTTCAATTAAAGTCAAAAATGTGTCATGAATTCTAAAAAAATAATATACAACGTAATTGTTTTTATCTTTATAGTCAAAACTTACTTATTTTCATAAAAATATCGGGCAACAATCACTAGATGTTTTTTAGTGCTTATATCTGTTGACTCATCTATGATCACAGAAAATTTGGATGACCTTAATATTGCATAGATGGTATTGGAGCCTGATTGACCAATTACATTTTTTACTATGGCAGTAGTCTTTGTTCTGCCGCATTGAATATTTTTAGCAATTTCAGAATCAGTACATATCTTAGATATAAGTGATGGAAGATGTTCTGCTACTCTATAAAGCAAATTATGTTCGGCTATGAATGCTGAAATATAGCAATACGCTTTTTTCACAGATGCTTCTAGATTTATAGTGCCTTTTGTCCTGATAAAAGAGGTCAAAGTTTGCTGTTTATTAATGCTTTTTGATTTTTTCTGTGTACTTCACTATCCTGATGTCTTACAAGTTGCAACTTTCCAGAACTTACACTAATATTTTTGTTACACACTTTACAATAGGCTTCTGTTTTTGAATTTCCAGCAGCTAGCCAATTTTTAACTTCTTCCTTCCATTCTTTCTTATATTGCTGATTATACTTTCTCTTTTTTATTTTTAGCCTACTTGACGATTCAGCTTCAGAATCCGATAAATTTAAATCATCAGAATTAAAATCATGGCACCTATTTAATATTTTGATATATCAAGGCTATTGTATTAATAATTGTGTCAATATTTCTGTTTTAACAATAATTTGTATTAAATTTTAACCAATTAATTTAAAAGTATGAATAAAAGATTCAGCGGTAGATAATAATAGCATTGCGGTAGAGCGGTAGTGCATACCATGAAAACGGTAGATCTACCGCAAAAACGGTAGACCTGGCAAGACTGGATCCGAGTTGCTGAGCGAACATCCCACCACCTTAGGTGGGGCAATACTTTAATGGTGGGATAGCGGTACTGATGCGGCCCAATTTACTCTTAGATAACCCAAGTGTCACCAACTAAGCTTCATCGGTTGAAATTTGTACTGGTCGACTCGCTAACAGAAAATTGCTATGCTCCGAATTATTTAGAGTTCATCTGTATAATTGTCTTTACTTTGCCTTTTTTTCTTTTTTACAGGATGTTTTGACGTAGCAGAGACGTTTTAATTAGACGGGGTATAAGTTCAGATGTTTTCAAAGTTTTAAGAAAACTTGATGGCGTTCAACAAATTGACTTTATTTATTTTTATTAGCTAATACCTTAAGTAGTTTTATGTAATTTAAGTACAACCCTTGAACAGTTCAAGCTTCTCCTAAACTTATTTGCACTGGTCAATTTTGAGAATCCGCATAACATCAATTTTAAGTTTAATCAAAGTAATATAAATAATTTAGATCAGTAAATAAAGTTCATTTCTAAATTGGTAAAAACCTTACATTACTTTGTAAAAATTCACGTATGTCAGAGCGTGTAATTCTTTTTTCTTTTAAAATGTCAGTTTGGATTTATTTTCTGTTTTTTGTCATTCTGGCGCATGGACTAGTTTAGAAACATTTTTGTAGATCACTCTTTAAGTCTTTATATTATTACTAACTAAAATTATGCGGGCCTTTTTAAAACCTGAGCTACAAAGCTGTCAATTAACATCTTGTCGCGAAAAACGTCAATTTTGGAGTGATATTTTAAAGTGCACAAAACATATTTTGAAGTGATTATATAAAAAAAACTAGTTATTTAAATGTTCGATTTTATGGTCAAATCCATATTATAAGAAAAAATATCTTTTACTCCTTTTTAACATACCCAGCTTAAGAAAACTTGTCCCAAACGCAATTTCGTTCCAAAGAAAACTTTTTCTATAAGCATATAGATTGCTCTGGAATTATATTTAGCGCCAGAGTGGAACAAAAATTGAGAGTTGGTAGTGAGTCTGATTATCCTAATCCTAGTCCTCTCCCGTTTCCAGAATACCAATAGGGCAATTCTGCAAAGTTTTCCCATTAAAGAAATCGTGCCCTTACATACATATCAAAATATTTGCATTATTCAATTCTACTCTCATTTTCAATTGCTCCTCTGTCTTGTCCTGTTTTCTTCACCTTCGTCGCTCATTCGGTTTGGGTCATACACAGATAAAAATATTCTTTTAACGTCAACAAACATTTTTAGATTATAAGTTTTTGGTGTTTGTTTATCTAATGGAGCGTATAAAATACCTAGGAGCACTTTGTTCTGACGGATTTGAATTTTTTATTTATTGTTCTGTAACATGGAATTAGTCAGCTTCACTAATTAATGAATTAGCCAACGAATAGCATGTTACTAGGTGGTCCACAATTATCCTAGCGACAATTATGATTTTAACCGCGGATAGCTCTAGTCGGAGGTGGTTTTGTCTGCTAAATTAAAAGTTCTTAGAAGGGAGCCAGTATAATTAGCCACGAAATACCCCTTATGTAAACCAGCCACCAAATCTCCAAATTGGCTATGCACATGATGAAGTTTAAATAAATATTACTGGGCAGAATAGACTTAAATAGAATTAAACAGTTTAGTTGGTTTTTTTCTTTAATTTCAAATATTTAATTCAAATGAATATAAATATACCGTTCAATATTATTATCAACAAACACTTATTCCCTAATATATGTATATCCGTTATTCACATATAACGTAACAGTGCTACCGAACACTAAATTTTACTACATAAATAGTTATAAAACTACATAACCTCACAAGATTTAAACTCTCTGAATTTGGTTAGCTTAAATTTTTTGAACTAGAATGACTAGGATGACTTATATTTACTAATATACCCATTAACACGATGGAATATACTAATTCTAACACGTTTAACAGAACCTGGTCCCTGTGATCTCCGAATAAATAGTTTAAAAACAAACTTAGCTCGTTACTCTGATTATTCTTGAGTAGATTTTAGCTAAAGGCTGTTTAATATGTATCACATAAATACCTCACTCTTCCCGATGGAGGAATCTTACTAAACTCTGCTGATATGCAAACCTCTGCCTCATGAGCGGATGAGGTGTGTGTGCATGTGCTTCTTTGTACTTGATAGACGGTGTACAGTGACTCCACACTGTAGTTACTGTGACACAGGGACAAATACTGTTTTATTAGTAACCCAGAACTAACAGCTACCAGCAAGAGCTGTGGAATTCTATACTAAATTGGGAAGTAAAGAAAAGTCAAGGCAAAAGGCAGGAAAAATCAGAAAAGCCCTACAAAATTAGAATAAGTACTAGGTCAGAGCAAATTAAGACTAGAATTTAATCAATATAAATTCCACGTTTTAATACTGTAAAATATCGAGACGTACTCTCAAATCTCCACTATAGTCTAGAGAAGAAACGAGTGCAGTAATTTAATTTGCAAAACGTAGTACAGGTTCAAGAGGTAGACTTTTTATTTATACCTCATTGTTCAATGATTATTTGTAGTTGAAATGAAAATTTTAATACATATGATTGGCCTAATAAAAGTTTTCGTTTAGATTTAACATGTTTTCATGATTTTTACTGTAATAAACCTTTTCTTTGGACAAATTAGTCAGACTTTATTTATTCGTAGCCGTATCGTATGTATTTTAACTGATTCGCAATTTTGAATTAGTATATATTATTATAACTTAAAAGTGATTCATAACTATTGGGACATAATCTAAGGTCAGATTATTTGGAGCAAAATATGGCGATAGGGCCAAATATACCTTAATGAAATATTGTTGTGGAATATAATGACGAGACACTGTGATATGTGTTTTATTTTGTTTTATTTTATTTTAGATTTATGTATTAATGTTAATTTATAATAATGTTTGTTTATATTTTAATGACTATTTATTTATTTGTAATTTGTATACTATTTGTACAATATTGTGTTTGTATGACTATTTATTTATTTGTAATTTGTACAATATTGTGTTTGTCAATAAGTATTTTAACTTGGACAATAAACATATATTCTCTCTCTCTCTCTCAATAAGATACAGGGCGATAAATAATAATAATAATAGTAAAAATAATAATAGACTATAATCAAACAGCAAAAATAATTCACTGTCAAGAAATTACATGTATCAAACACAATTATCTGAGACTTCAAAGCACACTTTTCATATTTTTATTATATTTTTTAACTCCCCGTTTGAGACTTGTAAGCTGTTCAATTCCGTTTTTCTCGAAAACGGGTAAAATTATCGTGTTTAAACAAAAGTACCAATATTACGTATAAATGACGTTTACATCATATTTTCCAATCAAAAATACTAAAAAGTTTTGTCAAAAAAAGCTACCACTTAATTTCATCATTAGTAATCATTCAAGTGGCGCCCCCCGTAACAAAATGAGAAATTATACATAAAATATTATCCCCTGTCCAAAGATATGCCTCTGTGCCGATTTTAATAACATTAATATACAGTGACATTATAAAAAAAACGAAAAAAAAAATTCAACTTTAACGCCCTGTATCTTATTCCACAGCAATATTTTATTAAGGTATATTTGGCCCTGTCATCATATTTTTGTACAAATAACCTGCCCTTAGGCTATGTCCCAATAGTTATGAATCACACTGTATAAGAATAGCGAGTGCTATATATAATATTGCAAGCACAAGTACCCGTAAATGACCTACTGGACATAAAGCATTATCTTTAAAAGAAAAAAATATCGTACTTAATGTATTTAATAATCTTCGAAAAGACTTTGTTTTTACTTTCTATGGATGAAATAGCCACTGAATGTAAGAGCTATACTCGTGTATCTAAGCGGACACTGTATAACATTATTAAAGAAAATACAGTTATTAGAGAAGTCTCACATTCGAAAAAGCCCCCAGGAAGAAACAAAACCTTTATTGAAACTTTGGCAAAGAATGTAATAAGGCAGATGGTACTCTTTTCTTTCAAAATAAAATTCCTACATTTAAAAAATTACTTTCAGAAATAGAAAATAGCCCCACTCTTCCAAATATATCATATTTTCATCTGCAAAAAATATTACATGAATTAAATACAAAAACCGTGACAGAAACAGCTTTTTAACAGAGAAAGACGAAATCATATGATTATTTAAGGAAAATAGCGGACGCATGGAATCAACATAAACAGGTATTTTATTTAGATAGATCATGAGTTAATGCTGGATATCAAAAATTTGGCAAAAAAACTCCATTAAATTTAAAAAAAGCCTTTATAGAAAGGATCTCTTGTGGATTAAATCCAACAGGAAAATGATAACCTTTAATAATAACCCGCATTGGAAGCACCCATGGTTTTTTGCCAGATGGTTTGTTAATGTTTGAGTCAAAGAAAATAAAAAACTACCATGAAGAAATGGCCTTGTTTCAAAATTAGTTCTAGAACTTCCAGCTAACTTTGTTATTGTTTCGGATAATGCATCCTGTCACAGTCGAGTAAAGAACTCTCTAACTACAACAAGATGGAAAAAGAAGATATTTCAAAATGCCTTCATTCTAAAGATATTATCAGTCCTCCTGATCATTGAAGTCATAATTACTTGTAATAACAAGGCAACATAGAAACACATTTAAAAAATGTATTATAGACGATATGGCCCGAGAAAAATAAATTGAAATTCTCAGATTGCCTCCTTACCATGCAGAGTTAAATCCCATTGAAGTAATCAAGTCACAATTGAAAAGTTATATTTCTCAAAACAATGCAACATAAATTACCTAATGCACGAAATTTGTTTTTGAATGCTGTTTCAGATGTAAATGGAGAACATTGGGAAAAATTTTGGAACATTTTGGAAAGTTGATATATCAATGGAAAACTTAATAGACCCTATTATAATAATAAACTTCAGAAAAGACAATGATAATGATACCAGTAATTATAGTAAAGACAGTGACTTTTAAAAATAGTTCTCGAACTATTTATTTTTTTAATCTCCGATTTTAGGTACTGAAGTGTTACTTTTAGTGCCAAGAAATTAAAAAAAATTGACCCCCAATAACAACATATAGTCAAAAAGGATATAGAGGAATTCAAAACGTAAAAATCCGTCGAAAACTCGAGGTCGAAAAAAATTTATGATTCCTATATTTTCTTTATCTATATACAGATAAGAAAGTAAAAATTATATTATTTACCTACGGGTTTGTGGTCTTCAAGTTTAAAATGTTCTTTTCTAATAAAAATATTAAACTTGTTTGTTATAAATCTGTATAAATTATCTAGTTCCTTACTAATAAATACGAGGATAAAAATTGGTCTTTACAAAGTGAACATTGGCGAATTGCCTCAATATTTATTTATTGTTAACTAAATATCATTAAAATCCTTTCTAGTATAAGTTTTAATTAAATTAAATCTGGATCTGTATTGGAATATTACAAAGAGGTAGGCGATACAATTAAAATAAATTTATCATTTGTTATTGATTCCCAAGATTTATTAAAATATTTAAGGCGACCAGCGAAGCTTAAGACTTTATTTACCTTTATTGATATTGGTAGTTTTTTGCCCAATTTGATACATGTTTCTTTCTTTGTGTTTCATTGTGCCTTGGGTTTTCATTGCTTACATCTGATTTTGCCTTACACTTTTCTATAAGATTTTCACCAAAGAGAACTGCATCCATCTTCGCTTCTTTGGCTACTTTTTGAACCTTTTCATTAAAATTAGGGTAAATTTGATGTCTTCGATTCATAAATATTTAAAAATGTGCATTACTTATGAATTTTCCAAGGACCATACATTTTGGTGGAATTGTCTTTATAATATCTGGTAGATCTCACCTAAACCCGATGCTAGAACACCAAGACTTTCAACCAAATCGTTTTGTATATGACTCATAAAAGAGTATTTTTTCTCCTCTCTTTCTGAGAGAAATGGCTCGATCACTGGATAGATCTTGGGTGCTTGGAATGCTTTAAAATTTTCTGGTATAGGCCATTCCAACCTCGCTTTTTCTATCGCAGGAAACGTCATTTATGACAAAGTAGGTTAGACGAGAGGCAATGTCAAGGTTAACAGATATACCTACACCATTTTTTATAACAGTATTAACTCTAAATACTTCTTCAACCATTGTTAAATATAAGGGTTCTGCGTCTTTTACATTTACATGCACTTCGGCCGCTGTTACTACCTGCCCTAAATTAATTTCATCGTCAGAGTCAAACGAGGAAGAAATTATTATTCTGTATTTCATGAGAGTAGAAACTCATCACTGTCGCCTGAGAAAAAGATGCCAGGATAAGCCTTTTTTACTTTTTATTATTAATGCATCTTGTTAGTAAAGGACGAGGAAGGCCCATACATATTTCTCTTCTTGTAATAAGGCAATCACAATGGTTCCTGATTAAATAAAATTTCATATATGGACGTATTAATTCAAATGAGGAATATTCTTATAATTAATTCATTTACAAAGAATTTGACAAGTTATAACTTGTGTAGGTACTTCTGACGGTGAGTAAAACTGTAGAAAATAAAAAAATTGTAAAATACACGTCTGTCGGCGAGAACGGCCGCAGAGTGTTTATAGTTAGTTTATCCTTATTTTAATGTCCACTATTTAGCTAAATTATTTAAAATTAATATCTATTTGGGAAGACTTTTAATTTATTTAAATAAAGTAAATTATTAGTAAGAGACCAGTAAGGTTATGTTTAAAATTTTACATTTCATTTAGGAAATTCTTGTACAAAATATATATATTTTCAACAATATATCGGTACTAAAGCTTACCTTATAAAATCAGACGACCAATTAGAAATCAATAAGCACATCGGATGGCCAAGATATATTAAATTTTAAATCAACATGATTCGTTGACAGATTCAAATGAAAATGAAATTGGAACTTTTGACACAAGGCATAAACGACAAATGACATTAGAGTAGAGATGTTTGTGTCAAAATAACGAAAACGGTTTTAACCGTTACACCCCACTACTTCCGGGTAAAAAAAAAATTAATTTTAATTTGAATTTTTTTTTTATTTTTCTTTACTACTTCCATATTCTCTCCTTTTATTGCAACTAGCTAGAATGATACAAGAGGTGAAACGATCAATAGATTACTTTTCAAGAGTGTTGCCCGCCGATATCCACAGTAATCAAAGGTCACTGCAAGAAAAGGTCCTTCAAAAATCATTCCACTCCCAATACCACTGCTAAACCAATTATCGTAAAAGAAAATTAAAAATTGAAAAAAAAATGATTATACAAAGAAGAAATAAGAAAATATATACTTCCTATTATATTAGTATATAAAGAAAAAAAAATTAGTAAATTAGCACTATATAATATATGCATGTTCGCTTTTATACAAACTTAAACCACATAAAATTGCAATCATGCATCGGTAAGATAAAGTTCAAAAAAAGTTACATCATTAAACTAAAAAATTGTACTGCCTAAACCATACATATATAAGATAAAGGTAAGGTAGAGAATAGTAAATACTCAGATTACTAAGTATTCATGTGTAAGAAAAAAGAGAAAAACAAACTGAAAATTTTAATACACAAAATAAAGGGACTTGAGACACATATTTAGTTATTTAGTGATCCTCCCAAATAGGAAGAGGTTGATAAACTTACAACTAAGACTTAATAATAAAAAATTTTTTTAGAAAACAATTGAAATTTTTACTGTAGCCCTTAAAGACTAAAGATTTACAACTTAAACCAGGAAGATTTACTACTTTAGCTTTTAGGTGCTTGTTTTAGAAAATTTTGATTAAAATGAAAAATTGATTTTAACTTTAAATCTGAACTCTTGTACTATACAAATATCACAATCAGGGAAAGATAAGATAAAAGTAAATAACGGTATGTGAGGCAATGAAAGGTAAACTAGAAAGAATGATCATTGAACTATATTTGCATATTTCATAACTAAGTAAAGGCGAACCATTTCAAATCAAAGGTAAATATCTTGATATTTAAAAAACATAGTACATTATGTACTAATGGTAAAAATAATATTATTAAACGATAAATAACACATTCACTCAACTAGTGAATAAAGATATATAATAATATTATAGAAGATAAATTATGAAAATCAAGATAAACAATGTACTCACTTTAGTGAATACATCAGATAAGGTATACGAAACATCTTCGTAATGCTGTCACTTTTCTCGGTGTAAACCAGCAAAGCTACAAACAAAGCAGTAAAGTTAGGTGAAAAAAATATAGTAATGCAAGTTCTCTGTTAACCCAAAGTTAACCCAAATATGAAATTTTGCAATACTCAACTAAATTATTTTCAATATAAAGTGAAAACAGGTATCAAATAATATTGATACCTAAATATTGAAGCCTAAATTCTCAAATTATAATTGAAAAAAGAATAAAGATATACAAACTTTTACTACTTGTATTAAAATATAATTTAAAGTTGGTTCGGAATCAATTAGTTATGCAATAGTGAGGTACTAAACCATATAAAGAAAAAACATGAAATGCTAGATAATATAGTTCAAAGTCAACTTAGGTATTTTAAATAATTCCTAATAAATGTTTCAGTTAAATAGTCATAATAAAGAATTAATTATAAAGGGAAGAAATTCAAAAACTAAAGAAAATGTAGGATGATAGCTAGGAAATTAGGTAGAAAATTATTTTTTTTTTATATATAAAAAGAAAATACTATTAGTAACTGAATACATATTACCAAAAATTAAGGTAGCTATTACAGACAGTATTGCTTTAAAACCTAAGCAGTAGCAGATAATGTCTGGTCTGACTCATAAATATTCCAATTGTGTTAAAGGAAAATATTGACTACAGGCGGTATAACTTGGTCGTGTAGGTAATAGCAGAATAATAAAAAGCCAGATGCTAATTTTTACTATTCTGGCCTGACAATATATATTCCACTGGTGTTAAAGGAAAAAATTTACTACAGGCGGTCTTACTTGGTCGTATAGGTAATAGCAGAATAAAATGCTAGTTATAATATTCTGGCCTGACAGTAAATATTCCAATGGTGTTAAAAGGAAATAATTGACTACAGGCGGTATTACTTGGTCGTGTGGGTAATAGCAGAACAATAAAAAGCTAGATACTAATTTATATTATTCTGGCCTGACAATATTTATTAAAAATTTGGCAATATTTCAACTCATTAAAAGGAACGATATGGACATCAAGGAAGGAGATATAATTCTAAATTACAGAATATATTATTCCCTATCATTATTAACGTTAGGTATGACTTCATTATCATTATCCTCAGATAAATCGTTATCAACATCAACGAAACTTTTTTTTTAATAAGAGACATGGTAATTACCTAAGTGTAATTTTTCAGATACTGACGGAATATTATTAGAATTATTTGAAATTAAACCATAAAAATCTCCAGAAAAGGGAACGTTACGAGCAAAATTAAGGAAGGATGGAGAATATCCTGTGACTTCATATCTGGCTGTATTTATGGATTGAACTACTCTAGACAAAAATATATCAGAAGACCGGTGATTATTATGTATATATCAGCGAAGTGCTGAGACAATTGTCTTATTGGTTCTTTTAGTATGATTAGCTTGAGGATGATAAACAGGATTGTAAATTATTTTCTGAACTTTGTATTTGTCCATCAAAGCTTTAAATTCTTTAGAAACAAAAACACTTTCATTGTCTGTAGAAACAATTTGACAAACTCCAAATAAATATGTTAAAGATATGTGTTTCTATAAATTTAGTTATACTAGCTGCAGTAGCGTTAGACATAGGATGAGCAAAACAAAACTTAGTGAACCAATCTGTTATTATAAGAGCATATTTGTTTCCATTCTTTGTTCTGGGATATGCTCCGATAATGTCCATTGATAACCATTGAAAAGGATGATTAATATTTTCATAATTACCCATAATACCAGCTTTAGGTACATTCGTGCTTTTACAAGACGAACAGATATTACATTTTTTAATGTTCCGAAATACATCTTTCCTTAAATTTGGCCAATAATAAATTTCTGAAATACGAGAGATAGTTTTGGAAATACCCAAATTTATCATGATGGTGTTACTGGAAGCTAACATCATCATGATAAATTTTAAGAATTTCAGAACGATTCTTATTAGGTACAACAATTTTCCAATTAGTTAAATTTGATATCAAAGGATTGTGAGAAAAAATATGTTTATACAAGATTCTATTGTCAACTTTGAAAGGGGGATATTTTCCAGGACATGAATCGACTTTATGTAACATAATAGATTTACACTGTCAGGTTTAAATTCTGCAACATCTAAGATAGGAATCTCATTAACTGAACAACTTAAAGAATCACTCACTGTCATAGAATAACCTTTCCTATGCTTAATAGTAAAATGAAATTGGGATAAACGGAGAGCCAACCGAGCTAAACGACCAGAAGAATTGGACAATTTATAAAAGGAAGAATGATCCGTTTCTAAAAAGAAATGTGTACCTTTAACATAACACCGAAATTTTTCAACTCCAAAAATACATCCAAGTAATTCTCTTCCAGTAGTGGATAATTTTCTTTCACAAGTCGTTAAGCTACGACTAGCAT